CCAGCTCTAATGTGCTGAAATGTTGTCATTCCTCATGTAGGCTGTTAACAAGGAGGCACAGGGGACTTCTCTGAACAGCATCTTCTCCACTACCTTTGGGACAGGGAAGGAGATAAAGCTTCTGTGCTGTAAGAGAAAGGGGGGCCCAAGGTAGTGCTGAGGGACTTCTGTCTCCAGAAAGCGACCTGCAGTGGGGAGGTAACCCCACACAGGGCATTTTGTGTGAACGTGTGAAAAGAGCGAGGCCTGCAGAGATGAAAACACTCCAGGACAAAGCACCCTCCTCCTGAGAACCTTCTCAGGCACTAGCATGAGAGACCAAGGGGCATTGCCTGAGCACAGGTAACCAGGTCAGAAGGGATGACAGCTTTTTGCTAGAAGCAGTTTATAAAGGGGAGCCAGGTGCCTGATTCTTGATTCAGTCTCTGCTTCCTCATGAGGCTTGTGTCCTGCCCTAGACTAGATGGTCCTGCTCTGGCAGAGGGGTTGGACTCCATGATCTCCAGAGGTCCCTTCCAACCCCTAACATTCTGTGATTCTTTCTCTTTAGCATGGCTGCCTCTCTTTATTTTGCCTTCTCTTTCCAAACCCTAAATCACTATTTGTGGTCTTGGAGCTTTCCAGATGGTTTTTATTTCTTGCCCATAAAGTGCTGGAGATGGCCAGGCAGTGCTGAAGTGCTTCCCCTGACATTACTGCCAGAGCAGAGCTTCCCCCCATGTGTCAGCTACAGGGGGACAAAGTGAAATTTGTGAACTCCAGGAATAACTGTGGAGCCACAGGCAAGAGGGCAGATGAAAATAACTGCAGGTAACTGTGGGAAAGTTGCTTTGGTGTCTGCTACCTTTGAACCAAGAGGTAGATACAGGTTTTTGAAGATGGTAAGAAAAGAGAGAAGTCAGTTGTCCCTCTGTCCCACTCCTGATTCTTTCCAAGCTACAGTTTCATGCAGAAGCAAGTGAGATGGTGAGGAAACGTTTTCTAAAACCTGATGTTACAACCAAGGTGGTATTTCAATGGAGGACTTGTAAGAAGGGGATCCCTGTCTCCCAGCTCTTTTTATTCCTTTTCTTTCCTGTTGCAGAACCAGCTCTCAGGAGAACATTATTAAAAACAACAACAGTAACAACCCAGCCTCATCAGTTCTGGTGAATTCTGAAGGTCACCAATGTCACCATCAGTTAGAAAGACACACATCACTCCCCTCTTCGCACAAGTGGATTTACAACCTGTTTAAGGGCTAGTGTCTCTCGATGCACTTCATCCCTTCTGCTACCTCCTCTCCACACACACGTGCTCTCCTCCAGCAGCAGCTGCTGGAAGAAATTATGAATTCCATTATTTTTCATCCAGAACAGCTTTACAGTATATAGGAGAAGCACTGGAGGCTGCGGGCTCATTAGCACAGGATTTGTATTGCCTCCTTCCATTTTATTCACCTTCCCAAATTAGGTGAAGCACGCCTGCCCCAAACCTGTGATTTCTGTTTAATTAAAATGCAGGTTGTGGAGTCTCCTCAACTCCAAAGCCCACCAGTGACAGTGACCTGGTAGAATAATGGTCTTGATATAGTGGCTGCTCTAACAGAGTCTTAATTTCAGTCAAGCAGAACAGCACCTCTGGTAGCAGCTGCATTTCGGGCTGGGATGAATATCAGTACCCAGCCTCTCAGACTCGCTGCCTTCCCCATCACAGCCAACATCCCTGACAGCTGAACTGTTAAATGAATTAACAAGGCGAGAAGGGGGCTTGCCGATGGGGCTGTGACTCCCTTCCTAATTTCTGCAAGTGGTGGCTTTCCATTTTGCTGTCATTTGTCAGGAAGATGCACATGGTTCTCTAATGAGCAGGGCAGAGCTACAGCCAGCTCTAAAAAGGTGGTGTTAGGAGGATGTTCTGGTCCATGGAGGAGAGGGAGCCAGACGCTTGAGGCGGGTGGGGGAAGGACACTGGCTCTGTTCAGACCAGGCAGTGCATCCCTCCCGCCTGGACTCGCTGGCTCACTGGTCTGGGGGCAGCCCTGACCCCAAACTGTGGCACGAGCACAAGGACTCCCACCCAGCCCTCTCCTGACGTGGGGAAGAATTGCTCTCCACGCCCCTGAGTTTGGCAAACATGCAGGCAGAACTCAAAATGAAGCCTTTGCCATGGCTTTGGTATTATGGGCTGCTGTAACAACAACAAAAAGGTTTTGCTCTACCTGTAGCAAAAATCCCCCAAACCTCAAAAACCTCAAACCAGTTGCATCCAGCCCCCTTATTTACCAGACAAGTCAATATACAGAGGTCCAGGCTTGTGAGGCTGTCGGCTGGGGTACAGCTCAATAGCACTCCAGGGCTCAACAGAAACTCCCCATTCAGGTGCTTTTTACTTGTTTGATTGGCAAAACTGCCAGAAGGTTGCTTCTAATGGCTTTTTTTTTTTTTTTTTCTGTTTTTTTTTTTCTCCCCTAAGTTTGTCAGGGGGCTCCATTACCTACTGGAGATTTTATTGTAAAAAATCCAGATATAATGATAAGAAAATCTTTAAATCTAACAGGGGAGTGTGCAAGAGGGAATGAAAGAATTACAGACACTCCTCCTGCATCAGACATAGAAGCTGAACCACCATCAACCACCAGTATTATTTCCAGGTGCCCCACGCTGTATGAAACACCCACCAGAACTGCACAGAATTGGATATTTTGACCAAGCTGGCCTAAACCCAGCACATTTCCCCACAGGCACATGCTGTATAATCCTTTTTACAACTGAGAGAGGAATGTTCTCACACCTACCAGAATTACTGCAACCCTTACGGCAGAACGAAGCATTGTTTAACAGCACTGAGACATAAATTATCTGGGGCCTTCAGACCAGGGACTGGGCCCCTTTGGTCATTTTGTGTTCAGTGCTCTGCCCGTGTTGTCAGCATTTGTTGTTTATTGGGAAGGTTTTCTCTATTTTTAACATGTTTGTCCCACTGCTGAAGCTAAGCAGAACCATTTTTTCCAGCTTACTGCTTAACTGCCTTTACCATGGGTAAGAACATCAAGCAAACAATAACAACAAAAACTTGTATTTCCACAGCCCACTTTAACTCAAAAGGTGTCACAAATCAATTTAAAACTTAAATTGCAATACCAGCTCCAATCACTTTACTCACAGTATAAATCACAGCCAGTTCTGGAGGTGGTGGAAGCAGTTATATAACAAAGCGTAATAACTTCACACAACAAGAGTGAAAATCGGCAGGAAGATCCGACATCCATCATTTCTACTGGATTGTCCCTCACCAGAGCTAAACTCAGTATCTCTAAAAAACCACCCGAGTCAGGCTACAACTTCAGCTCCACCAGCCCTGCCTGTGCAAGCAGGTCTGGCTATCTCAGTTTCCTCCCCAGTTTGGCTCCTTCCATTGCCCTGTGGTCCCAGTCTGAGTTAGGCTAATGAAGACCTGGACCCTGGGATTAACAGACACGATTCTAACAGCATTTCCTCCTTTTCCCCAGCTGGTTTCTGTACATGTGTACAAATGCATGTGCTGGCTCCATTTGCAGCAGTGAGATATTTAGCTCTGAAACAAAAACGTACTTTGAAGCCAGATAGAGTTGGCTCCACTTGGGGCTTTCTTTGCTGCAGTTGCAGAGGTGAGCTGGAGCAGCAGCAAACTAGAAAAAAAAGAAGGAAATATTGCCAGCTGTCTCTCCAGAACCATGCTGCTCTGATTAATTTATAATGTTTTCAGAGGAAGATAGTGAAATGAAAAGGTTAAGTAGAGTTTAGAAGAAAAAAAGTGCTTTGCTTAGTTTTGGGCAACAGAATATTTAATAAATAATAATAATAATAACAACATGAATTAGTGCTGGGCTGGAGAGCTTCTACATGCTGGCCTTGAGACAGAAGAACAAAAGTGTAATCAGATTTGCTCACAGCGGAGGCTGAACAACAGGAGGGTTCTAAGCTCCAAAAGATGCTGCTGCAGAAATTGATCCCATAACTAACAACTATTTGGGCGCCAGCCTCTCTCCAGCTGGGGTGACCAGAAATACAGCCCTGCCGTTGGGGCTGTGAGGAAGACATCAGCTATTTTGGTGCTGCTCTGCTCAGGCAGAGTTCCTGAGGAGGACAGATTCGGCTGGGGGTTATCTGGGCTTTGCAAAATCACCTGTTTCACAAAATATTTAAAAAATGTCTAGTTAACTGCCCTGATTTCTGACTCTGGTCTTCCCATACAGGGATTTTTAAATTATCAGCAAGTTATGTTTTATAAATACAGCCTGGGTTAATACGTTTGATCTGTAATAAGCAAAGGCTTAAACAGTGCCACTGACCCTCAGCCTCTGTGGAGGCTGGATGCAGCTACAGAATCTGCATGTTCCTGAGGGTTCAAGACCCACCTGTAACTTGTAGCCTCCACCCTACCCCCTGCACCCTCTTATGGCTGAACTCGATGATCTTAAAGGTCTTTTCCAACCTGAATGATTTTATCATTCTCTCATCTGTGCCTCCAAAGCTAGCACTAAACTAGACACAGCATCTTCTTGACGTCAAGAGCATAAAAAAACAGCAAGGTGTGGTGCACAGGCCATGTCTCTGCACAGAGAGCTATAAAAGCAAAGAACCAGCTTCCCAAGTCTCCCTTGTTCTGTAGTTTTGTTTCTTTTCCCTTGTGGCTTTCCTGTGCTCCACTTTTCACTTCTTTAACTTGAGTCAATTTTTCCCTCAAGCTAATCTGGTATGAACAGTCATCCTCCTGCAACTCCAAAAATATTTTCTTTTCTTTCTTTCAAATGCCCTTTTCTCCTCTTATTTGTGTAGACCAACTGGCTTTCAAATGGCAAGAAACTGTCAGTGCCAACCTATTCCAGGAGAGGATGCTACAAAAAACAGTTAGTGATCACGACCAGGGAATTTTTCAAATCATACCTTTCCTGGACAAATATTAAATATTATCTGGAGAATAATAAAACATGTTGATACTTAAAAAAAAATAATTTAACTTATTTTCCTTTTGCTTACCTGCTTCACCTACAAACACTTCCACTGGTGTGCTGGTAGGGCTCTCACCAATTACATTATATGCTGTCATTAGTACTTCATATCTCTTGTATTTCTTCAACTCTGAAAAAGTAAAATATGATATTATTATTGTCTTTTACACAATATCACAGATGTCTTTTAGATTCCATCACCTCTTTATCAGCAGACTTCTCTCTTGTGAAACATAACATTAGAGCAATACAACAGGGCAATGTCTACTTCCATTCTTCTTTAACTCATGCATCGTGGCAGGATTTGCATCATTATGAAAGATCTTTGCAATTAAATGGCAGAAGTTTCCAGTGTTTCCTCATGGTGTTGCTCCAGAAAAAGGAGTCACCCCTGATGGGTTGCTAGCTAGTGGAATGTCTCTAGGTCACTCTTAATGACAGAAAAATGTAGGACTTTGCTTTGAATGTTCAACAGATGGGCTCCTTTTGATCTCTACTGGTAGGAAAGGACACGGCTTCAACCCCAGGGATTTTTACCTAGGGACTCATTTAGCAACTGCACTGCTCAAGAATATCGTGGCTGAAGCAGATCTGCAGCAGCAGATGTGCAGCAGGGACTCTGGAGTCCTGTCTGAAGCACTGCATGGGTATCCTTCTCCTTCAAAGTGACCACAGCATTGATCACAAAGAGATAGGACAATCTGAAGTCTGGACTCCATTTGGCCACCAGGCAAGCAATTTCTTTTCTGACATAGAGAAGCTACTCTGACAGATGAGGTAAGAGGGTGAGAGCAGTGAGAAAAAAAATTTAAAAAAAAAAAATCTAGAAAACTCAACTGTATGAGGGTAATTAACAGATGCAAATGAGGGTGGAGAAGAATCATGTCAACGTCGTTAGTGGAGGCAGCGCCTGAGCAGTTTCATTTCAGATTTTGCATTTTCAGGATGAAAGAATCAATCCTAAGAGCAATATTTATCATCTAATATATTTAACAGTGAAATTAGAATAAGAGAGCAATCAATAATATAAATTGCTGTATTCAAATGAGCATTGAATTGATCAAGACATGCATGGCCGTGGGTCCAAATTTCTCCCTTTACCAGTAATTTTCTCTGCTATCTATGAATCAGATAGTACCCTTAACTCTGTGGCTGACAGTATGCCATTGGTTTGCTAAGGTTCAATAAACTCAATCATACAGATTTGTCTAATTTCAGCTTCACAGAGGTGTTTACAAGTGTTGTGCTCCTATATCTGACTTGAAGCCCAGCAAAATTCCCCAGTCTCAGGCATACTGTAAATGATATCCAATACATCAGTAATTTTTTGATGTGATACCACTAAACTCAGATGGACTGCAAAACATGTAGCAAGCAAATCAGCAATAACGATGCTAAGTTAGTAACCACACAAACAAAAAATAGTAAAATATGTCGGATGTAATATCAGGCAGCTTCTACAGGGAAACTTTAATTACTGCCATGAAAAGCCACAAGGGAGATTTTAGTGAGAAAATGGAACACATGAGAGTTCATGCATGCAACTTGCAGTGGGGATAGGGCTTCATTTTATTTTTTTTTAGCCCATCACAATCTGTGACTCAAAAGCCTTGGGCAAAACCTATCTAGTGAACCATCACCACCACAAAGCAACTTGCCTTTTAACTCTCTGTCGAATGCTATTTTATTCATTTCCGATTGAAAACACCTCTGAAGTTGCACATAAATTCATTGAGCCCTCTCTAAACTGGCCTCCTAACTCCATGGAAGGCCCGAGCCTCGCAATGCTGGGATTGTAGGACTAATGATGTGATCCAGCTCAACTCAGACCGACTGCAAAATATGTAGCAAGCGAATCAAAATTCATTCAGCGTCAGCAATACTGGGCTGTTACAGTCGATGATGTTTTACCTTCCAGCAGCCAGATTTTTACAACAGCTACCTACTTGCATCATCAATGTCTCCT